GGCCACAGTAAAATCTTAATAAATTTAAAGGGATTCAAGTCATTTATGTCCCATGACTATAAGGAGATTAAATTAGAAGCCAATAAAAGAAAGTTCCCTGGGAAATCCCCAAATATTTAGAAACTAAATATCAGACTTCTAAATTACCCATGATTAAAAAAAATTAAAAAAGAAATCATCATTTTGAACAGAATTTACTTAAAAAACATACCCACAATACACCAGAATATAGAGAGATTGTGCTCAACGAGTACTCAGGAGATTTAAAGAAATAAATGGCCACCTCCGAAAAGAAATGCCTCTCGTCAGTGAGCAGTTTTTCCACTGTAAGACACTAGAGAGAAAAATTAAACCCCAAACAATGAAGAGAAAGTAGATTATAAAGATCATAAAAAAACAATGAAACAGGAAGGAGAAAAACAATAGAGAAAAATCAATGAAACCAAGTACTGCTACTTTGAGAAGATGGACAAAACTGACAAACCTCCACACAGACTGATGAGGGGGAAAGAAGACATGAATTACCAGTAATCATAAGAGTGATGTGGCACAGCTACGCATCCTACAGACGGTAAAAGAATAAACAGAGCCTCGTGAGCAATTCTATACGATGAGAGTGGATACTGTAAGACACAAGTAACCAAAACTTCCTCAAGAAGAAACGGGACAACCTGAGGCCGCCTACATAAAAGAACAAACTGGGGGCACCAGAGTGGCTCAGTCAGTACCAACTCCCGATTTCAGCTCAGGTCATGATTTCACGGTTTTTAAGTTGCGAGCCCCATGCTGGGCTCTGCGAAGACAGCACGGAGCCTGCTTGGGATTCTCCCTCTCCCTCTCTCTGCTCCTCCCCTGCTCATGTCGCTTGCTCCCTCCCTCTCTCTCTCCCTCTCTCTCTCTCTCAAAAAAAAAAAAAAAAAGGCTGAAAACACTCCCTCAAACAAAACTCTTAGGCCCAAATGGCTTCACTTCTTCATCTAAAAAAGAAATGACAGGGGCGCCTGGGTGGCTTAGTCGGTTAAGCGTCCGACTTTCGCTTAGGTCATGATCTCGCGGTTCGTGGGTTCGAGCCCCGCGTCGGGCTCTGTGCTGACTGCCAGCTCAGAGCCTGGAGCCTGTTTCAGTCTGTGACTCCCTCTCTCTCTGACCCTCCCCTGCTCACGCTGTCTCTCTCTCTCTCCTAGAAATAAATAAAACATTAAAAAAAAAAATTTTTTTTAAAAAATAAAAAAGAAATGACAGCCTCTTCAAAAAACTGAACAGGAGGAAATACACTGAAAACTGTAGACCAACATCCCTCATGAACACAGGTATGACTCTAGCCAATCTAATCTAACAACTAATCAAAAGTGTATTACATCATGACCCAATACACCTTATCCCAGGAACGTTAAGGTGGATTACATACATGAAAAGTCAATCAGTGTAATTCATCCAAACACACTAAAAGGAAAAAAGTATGATTATCACCACAGATGGAGGGAAAAAGCCTGACAAATTCCAACAACCACTCCTGATAAAAACTCTCAGCAAATCCTAACAGAAGGGCACCTCACGAACCTGAAAAGGCCATATACACAAAACTACATAACATTACACTTACTGGTGAAATGGCAGGTTTCTCCCCTACAATCAGTCAGACGTTTGTGCTCATGATCTATTCACCATTGTAATAATGAAGGCTCTATCCAGGGCAACCAGACAAGACTAAGAAATAAAAAGCACCAGATTGGATAGGAAATAAAACTGAAAGAAAACTAACAAATAACACAACTGTCCATGTAGAAGATGCAATGGAATCCACAAAAAGTTCCTACAACTTAGAAGTGAGCTTAACACATGCCCAGGGTATATCAATTTACAAAAATTAATTCTATTTCTTCTATTTCTAGCTGCTATAACAATTCCTAATTAAATTTTGTAAAAAATCACTTACGATGGCACCAAAAAAATATGAAATACTTAAGGATAAACTGGACAAAAGATGTGAAAAACCAATACACTGAAAAGTAAAAATATAGCCAAGAAAAAGCAGAAAAAGACCTCACCAAGTGGAGCCATGCAGCAACAGCTCACGTGCACTGCACTAAAAGGTCAAGTTTCTCCAACTGATCTAGAGATTTAGTGCAATCCCAGGAAGCATGTCAGCATCCTGTGGACATTGACCAGCTCATCCTAACCTGTATGGACATGAAAAGGAGCTAGAATAGCCAAAAATAATTCTGAAAAAGAAAGCTAACACCACCTGTTTGTAAGAATTATTTACAGTAATCAAAACAGTGGGCGCTGTTGTGAAAAGAGACTTAACAGATGGAACAGAAGAGAGCCCAGAGATGAGCCCACACGTAGGGACAAATGATCCTGACGACAGCCACTGACTGCCCAGGGGAGAAGGGGGTTCTTTCCGGCAAACAGTGCTATGAAAGCTGCACACCCACGTGTGTGGAGAGAAAAGGCTCTGCTGTCTACCTCACACCATATACAACAACTGACCTAAAATGAGCCACAGATCCCAAAAATGTGCAACTTAAAACTTTGGATTAAGCATAGATTTCTTAGGTACAAAACCAAGAGCAAGATCCACTAAAGACAGAAAGACCTGATAAACTAGACTATACACCAAACTTAAAACTTCTACTTTTCAAAAGACACTGTTAGGAGAACAAAAGACAAGCCACAGACTGAGAGAATGTGTTTGCAAATTATAAACGTAGTAAGGAATTGTATCCAAAATATAAACACAACTCCCCAAAGATAATAATAAAACCCAATAATGAGCAGAACACTTGAACGGCCCTTCACCAAAAAAGGCACATGTATAAAATGTTTGACACCATTAGTCATTAGGAAATTCAAATTAAGGGGTGCCTGGGTGGCTTGGTTGGTTAGGCGTCCGACTTTCGCTTGGGTCATGATCTCGCAGTTCGTGGGTTCGAGCCCCGCGTCGGGCTCTGTGCTGACTGCCAGCTCAGAGCCTGGAGCCTGTTTCAGTCTGTGACTCCCTCTCTCTCTGACCCTCCCCTGCTCACGCTCTCTCTCTCTCCTAGAAATGAATAAAACTTTAAAAAAAAAAAAAAAAGGAAATTCAAATTAAAACTACAGTAAGATTCAACTGCCTACCTTCTAAATGACTAAAATTAACAAGACTGACCATGTGCAGCTGCTTGGATCCGCAGCGGATGGGCACACAGAGGTCCACGACGGACCACAGCTCTACCGTCTTTTCAGAAGATAAACCTACCAGATGATCCATCTATTCCATTCTTAACGTATTTACCCAAGAGAAATGAAAACATCTGCCCCTACAAAGTCTTGTTTTATGAATGTTCATAGGAGCTTTATTGGTAATAACCAAGAACTGGAAACAACCCAAATATTCATCACCAGGTGAATGGAAAAACAAACCGTGGCATATAATGGAATGGAATAAATACTGCTCAGCAATAAAAAGAAATGACCGATGAATGTTACAACATGGCTGAATCTCAAAATTAGTAAGCCAAGTAAAAGAAGCCTGACAAAAAGGCCATAAAACTCTATTTACATAAAATTCTAGGAAGTGCCAACTAACCAAGAGTGACAGAAAGCAGATCAGTGGTTGCCTGGGCAAGAACAGGGCACAGGAAGCTTTCAGTGTTGACGGATATGTTCATGACCTTGATGGTTTTACAGGCACATACACACCTTACCAAATCGGGTACAGAAACTGGAGTGGAAGAGTCAGCAAATCAACTCCACAGCACACTCAACACTGTGCTCCAAACTAGGGAAAATAAAACTTACAGACAAGCTGGGATGCACTTCCAATACGTGATGTTTATCATACATCAATTATGCTTCGTTAATGTCCTACACCCCCAAAAGCGAAGAGGAGAGGGCTGGGGCCTGAGGAGAACAGAGAGTGTGAACCAGCTGTCCAGGGGCTCAGCAGCACCGCAGCCCTGGCCACACCAAGGGCTAGCTGGGAGCCCGTGACCCCGAACTGATGATGAGAGCATTCCACACGCCACCCATTTGGTTCAGCCGCCTGCTCCCACCTGCTCAGGAGTTAGCCCTTGGCAGGTAGAGTACTGATGCACAAAGTAACCAAGGACACACTCTGTGTGCTGCGGGCGCAGCTGGGTCACGGCAGGGGCCACGAGCAACGAGTGCCGCAGCCACAGTGCAGGCACAGTGGGCATGGGGCTCAGCCCTCCCAGGGAAAACACGCATGCATGCACACACACACTGCCGGACTACGCAAGTCTGCTGAGCAATGCGTGCAATGACCTGTGTTAGCGGACCACCCCCCAGTTAAGAACGTGGCAGCGGGCAGAGGGAAAGGGACCCATCTCTACCTCGGGTATAGCTGCCGACAGTCACCCAGGACATCAGACACACTCATGGTGCGTCTGCTCGGCTCTACTCAGTTCCCTGTAGGCGACCGAGGGAGTTACTTCTCCCGCTGCCGCTGCCCCATCGAACCATCAGCGAGGAGAGACCGGCCTGCCCCCCAGTCTGCTGGCGCTGTGAACCTTGACTGGTTTCCTAGAGGACGGTGGACCAAAATTAGAGGGGAGCCATCCCTGATCCATCACCCTGGGGTGTGTCCACACTGGCCCACATCCTGGCCCCAAAGAGGCTGCTCGCTGCTCTTTTTCTTCTTCTGAAAACAGCTTTAACTACTCCCTTCCATGGAAAACCAACTTCCTTTGTGGCTGACTCTCAATTTCAATACTAACGTTCCTCTTCTGTACTTTTACAGACACTCAGCCCTATGGTCCGTCTTCTGCTTCTGACTAAACCAGACCCACCTTTCAGGAACTGCTCAGGTCTTAAATGCCCTGTGGCACCTTCCCGACCAGAACTCATCTCTGTATCCAGGTAAGAGGGAGTTCAAAGTAGAATCAAAGGAAGCAATAAAAGGCAACAAGGTTTAGTAGATTTAAGAAGCTAAATTTTAAGAAGCAACAAACACAGCCCACAGTGTATATAAAAATGGATTCACGAAAGAGCTTTACCAGTCTCGCTGTTTTCTGGCGGAGATTCATATTCTGAACGATCCAGAGCCGACGCACTCACAGCTGGTTGCTCTGGCTCCTGCAAATCTGACAGCGCCACACTCTCATGGCCTTTGTCACCATCACCATTGGCATCCAATCCTGGAATTAGGAATTTTACCCCAAAAGGCAGGGTTAGAATAGCTTTCTCTTAGAACAAAAGCTACAGCTGCAGTTACTTGAATTTTTTTACTTGACTGTGCCTCTTACATATATCAACAAACCATGGCACAATTTTTAATTAGTAATTTCCTAAAGATGGATTAAATGGGAACAGAGAGACCAAGCCTTGAGGGCAAAGGCGCTCCCCAGCACAGGCAGGCTCTCACTCACCCTCCGCGCCGCAGGCTGTGCAAGGCCCCGCCGGCTCCTCCCAGTTTGCGCTCACACCGCCATCCGCCGCATTGCCTGCTTCCAAATGCAGCACGGGGGTCCCCCACACTTTAGCATTAGGGTTTAGCTCTGAAACTTTGGCTGTCGGTACCTAGGGGGAAATGCGACATATACATTTGTATACCAATTCCAATCAAACACAATTTTACTTCTTAACTCGGAGCTGAAACGCATCTACGTGAGAGAATTACACGTGCAAAGTAACACAAGTTGGCGCACTGAGCTCCGCCTCCTTCACCATCAGGCTCCTCAGTTCCCACTCCGTGCAGGCTCTCCAGGAGGTCCCCGCCGTCACAGAGTTTCAGCAAATAACTGGGGATCCAACCGTCATCTCTGTTCTAGACAACCCAACACAATTCACAGATTTACATAGGTGAACAGAATGTAGATGGATAAAATTCTTAAAGCGCACCCAGAGAGGCAAAGGATATGGAAAATGCAAGCCCCTCGGAGCAGCAAAGGTCTTCTAATGGGTCCGTCACACGGGTGCCTGGTGTTGCCCCCACTTTGACTCTCCTCATTTCCAGGGATACCGGGCTCCTTCCTGCTCCCACCGCTGTCTGTCCACAGCCCTCTCCCAGCTCTACACATTTGACCTGCACTTCCTCTGGGAACAGGTGAGCTGTTTCCTGGTGCACCTCATTAAATCCATAACTACCCCCTGATTTTCTTCTCCTACTTACAAACCTCAAGTACATCCTGGAGTCTAAATAAAAATCTGTGTCCTGGCGGCAGCTGCTCTCCCAACTAACTCCAGGTCATCATCACAATTTTGTCAGGAAACCCAGCCAAATAATTTTCCTTTTCCCGGGTAATACACATGTGATGCCACTATGCAGGGTCAGAGCTTCCCAGAAGAGGGACAAGGGTCCTGGTTCTGGGAGCCCTCAGGGAGTGGCAGGCAGGAGTTCCGAACTGAGACCCCTCGAAGGGCAGATGTTACCTGATACTGTCTCCAGATGTGAAAAGGGTCAGGAAACATCATGATGAGCCATCAAGGAAATGTGTACATTGACAGTCTTCAAAAGACAGAATAAACTCACTCTGGCTGCGATGATTAAAGCTTGTAGTGAAAAACAAAACTATTTCTGATACGGACAGAAGAGGCTGATGCAGTTAAAACTACAGTATGTACTTTGTTCACAGCTGGGAGGGGAAGGCAAGAAACATCGTACCCCCAACACCAGATGCCCAAGTGAGGGCCTATCTGGGATTCTTTTTAGGAAGTTCTCATGGTAAGGCAGAGAACAGACTTCTCCTTCTTCAAGAAGACCACACTAGGGGCGCCTGGGGGCTCAGTTGGTTCAGCGTCTGATTTCGGCTCAAGTCATGATCTCAGGGTTCGTGGGTATGAGCCCCATGTTGGGCTGTGTGCTGACAGCTCACAGCCTGGAGCCTGTTTCAGATTCTGTGTCTCCTTCCCTCTCTGGCCCTCCCCTGCTTGCACTCTGTCTCTCTGTCTCTCTCTCTCTAAAAAATAAACATTAAAAAAAAAAAAAGAACATTACACTCAAGAGGTGTCTGGGGGTGCTCAGTCAGTTGAGCATCCAACCCTGGATTTCCTGGACTTCAGGTCAGGTCATGACCTCACGATCGTGGGATGGAGCCCCGCATCGGCTCTGCGCTGACAGCATGGAGCGTGCCTGGGTTCTCCCTCTCCCTCTACTTCCCTCCCCTAGCTCATGCTCTCTCTCAAAATAAATAAAAACTTTTAAAAAAGAGTACCATACTCAAGAATCACTGGTCACTTCCTTCTAACAGAACTAAACTCCAGTTCATTTCTGGCCCTGTGTTCACTCTGCGGGGTTTATTTCTTGGTCTCGCTCACACACTCATCCCCCCAGCGAATGCCTCCGGCCCACCAAGTGCCCCGGCACCAAGCTCTCAAGGTAAGATGGTGAATGAAGCAGACACAACCCCTGCCCTCATGACCAGAGAGAGCGATTCAGGAGACGCTCTATGTCACTGACCTCACGACCGACCCTCGGCATTTACACGTTTCCAGTCTATGTTTTGCTTTGTTTTAACCCCTGCCCCTCTGGCTCCTAGTCCAACGCTGCTGGAAAGCCATGTTCTGAGCAGACCCTCCACCGAGCCACCACACACATCAGGCTTTCGCACATTACGTGTTCGACCCGCCGACCCGGCCCCCTGAGCTCACGTACATGCCACGTGCCCTCTAGCTTCCCCCACTCACCGGGTCTTCGGGCCAGCGGCACCCGTGGGCCTCACGCTCACAGCCACCGCGAGCTCTTGCTACAACACATGTGCCGCGCCGTGGGCCCACATAAGCTCCCGGGTGGCCTTTGGTTCGCCACCATATCACTCTTATCTAGCAGCCCTGACCTCAGCACAGACGTGCCTGAGAAACATGCTGAGGAATGAATGTTTAAGAAGCAACAACATAAACACCTGCCTTTTCCACTGTTCAAGGAATTGTGCAGTCTTATGCCACAACCGAAGAGAAACCTATCCTTAGTAGTTTACTACTCCTTACGCTGCAGAAGCTCCAATCCAAACCAAGTGCTAGAAGCTTAACACAACTTACAACAGTTAACCAGCAATCCAGTGATGCCCTGGAGTGACAAGGGCTGAAACAATGGAGACGTGTGATCAGGAGCGGATGACATGAAGACCAGCTCTGAGTCTGCTAGACGCCAGGTGCGCTCCATGCACCTTCCTGGGCCTCAGCGCAACAACCCTGAGGATTTCACAAGTAGAAAACCAAGGCAGAGAGAGGTGAAGCAACTTGTCCACAAAGACAGTTAATGAGAAGACTATTTTAATATCAGCAAAACAAACGTTACCAAGAGTTCATTACCTTCTTGTAATTCACACGAAGACTAACTTGCCTCTGTTGCATTTAAGGTGTGTGTCTTTCCCTGAAGTCACGTGGAACTTAAGTGCCCATCGACAATTCACGCTTCACCCGCTTGGCTACCTGTCTTATTTCCCCACTGAAAAAGTCATGGCTAAGTAGTGCTGATTAAAACCAAACATAGGCTGACCTTAGTAGCCGCGTCCTGAAGCAACTTCACATAAATGACCAATACGATGCTTTCAAAGTGCGGCACCCATAAACCCTGACGCTCTAAAGAAACTCATCCCCCAACACTAGGCTCCATAAAAACAAACCTACCGATTCATACCCTGTGTGTTCTGGACAGGACGAAGAATGGCCTCACTGACGATGTCCCAGGGAGGGAAACCAGGATCAGAGGAGGGAAAGGGACTGGGGAGAATAAAGGAGGTGGCACGGCGGGGAGGGTGTCCAGCTCTTCAATTTGAGTTAGCCCAGACTACTCTTGGATCTGCCACCAAACCATCACTCAGAGCGGTCTGCTGGCTTCTGAAGTCTCTGTGCCTCCTGCAAAATGGAGCGGCGGCCGCCACCTGGGATGGAAAAGACGTGCGCACAAGCACTGAGCCTGAGCACGAGCGCTGAGCACAAGCACTGAGCCTGCGCGCTGAGCACGAGCGCTGAGCCTGAGCACAAGCGCTGAGCCTGACACGAGCGCTGAGCCTGCGCGCTGAGCCTGACACGAGCGCTGAGCCTGAGCACGAGCACTGAGCCTGCGCGCTGAGCCTGACACGAGCGCTGAGCCTGAGCACGAGCGCTGAGCCTGACACGAGCGCTGAGCCTGACACGAGCGCTGAGCCTGCGCGCTGAGCCTGAGCACGAGCGCTGAGCCTGCGCGCGGAGCCTGACACGAGCGCTGAGCCTGCGCTCTAAGCCTGACACGAGCGCTGAGCCTGAGCACGAGCGCTGAGCCTGAGCACGAGCGCTGAGCCTGACACGAGCGCTGAGCCTGCGCGCTGAGCCTGAGCACGAGCGCTGAGCCTGAGCACGAGCGCTGAGCCTGAGCACGAACGCTGAGCCTGGCACGAGCGCTGAGCCTGAGCACGAGCGCTGAGCCTGACACGAGCGCTGAGCCTGACACGAGCGCTGAGCCTGTGCGCTGAGCACGAGCGCCGAGACAGGAGGTTCTGAAAAAGGCCCGCATGAAAGGTACTCAAACTCGGAGCCCGCCCAGCACATGGCACAGCTGAAGAGCCGCTTCGGAGCAGGACGCACGTACCTCACAGGAAGGGCAGGCGGCGCCTGGGCCCGTGGGGGCACTGCACCCAAGCACCGCGTGGACCCTGGCAGCTGACGGCAGGCACGACTGCTCATGGAAACAATTATGTGCGCAGCACTCAAAAGCCGGGTTTTCTAGTGTTTTGCCTCCACAACAATTTAAGAAACAAAAGCAATTACTTGAATGTAACTCTTTCTGGCAAAACTCCCAAATATGGAAATGGAAAAACAGGAGGTTAGCGGTTAATTCCCCTAAGTTATAGGGTTAAATTTATTCTTATTTTCATTTAATTGGCATTAACACTTGAACCACATCTATCTCCGTACTATCATCAATCATTTTTCTTGCCTCATGCAAGAAAAATCACTAATAACAAGCGAGTATCAAGACAACAAACAAGTGTTGGCGAGGATGTGGAGGAAGGGAACGCAAATCGTGCAGCCGCCGCGGAGAGCAGGCTGGGGGCTCCTCAAACGACTGAAAACAGAAACACCGTATGATCTAGCAATCCCATTGCTGGAGATTTACTCTGAAGAAAACAAAAATACTAATTCAAAAAAATAACAGGCACCCATGTTCACAGTAGTAGTATTTACAGTAGCCAAGATACGAAGCAACCTGTCCACTGGGAGACGAGCGGGGAAAGAAGATGTGGTGTGTGTGCGTGTACAACACAGTGCACCACGACTCTCACGTCCTGTCATCTGCGACAGCGTGGATGGACTCAGAGAGGAGTATGCTACGTGAGAGAAGTCAGACAAAGGCAAATACCGTATGACCTTACTCACATGTGGGATCTAAGGACAAACAAAGACAGAGCTCACAGAACAAACTGGTGGCTGTCAGAGGTGGGGTGGGGGGGGTGGGAAAATGGGTGAACTGTTTTTTGTTTTAGTTTAAATAAACTGAGTTTAAAATTAAACTACTGGCTGAATCAATGAGATTCACTGTTAGAAACACTCTCAATTATACATGTCCAAAAAGACTGTTTTAAGGGCAAGAGTAACTTCAC